TACATTGCATATTGTTGTCTTCATAGTGGTTATTCAGAGGACAAGATGCAGACATGATATCTTGTCTAAACAATATTAGTACAAACCTTTCTTCTCACTTAACAAAGAGAAGGTAGTTGTATATCTATCCTATCTATTTTGCATATACATATTTTTTTTCCCACTACAAAATGGTCCAACTTAAGTTTGCAGACCAAAAACTAGAGAAAAAAAAAGGGCTGCAAGGACAGCCAACATTTTGGCCCTAGCTACTCAAGGTCACTAAGGACTCAGGATATAAGTGAACCTGTACTGTATCATCCTGTAACTCAGTGATGTCCCAAATTTTCTGATCAAGATTACGGGAGCACAGAGGAAAGTGATCAACAATGTAGACTATGCCTAAGGAGAGTCATATCAAGAGAAAACATTCTCTCAGTGTTTCACAGAGAGCAAATTGTTCAAGCAATGGTTGGGACTCAGTCACATGGCTGACACTGACAAAAGATCTACAAACTGTGGTGCAGGGTTACAGGAGAAATCCTGAGGGAATTTGACTGACCTTGTCAGGTACAAAAGTTACATTTCTTGTTAATATAAGTCTTGCTTTATCTTGGTCTTAACCATCCAGCAGAAAAGTATTAAAATGAGGTATAGGTGTGGGGAGTCAACCTCGCGCGCAGCGCAGGGGCTGTGGCCCCCTCCTGGCTGTGGGGCTCTCATGGCCGTCCCTTGGCCCTGGCGCGCGCGGGGCAGGGGCGGCCGGAACGTGGGGCTGGCGGCACCCCGTCCCGCAGGAGCCACGCGGGCGCGCGTTAGGCCTGTGGGCCGCGGCCGTAGTGAGCGCGGCGCCCCGCCCCCTGCAGCCCTACCTGCGCCTCATGCGCCTGGACAAGCCCATCGGAACCTGGCTGTTGTATTTGCCATGTACCTGGAGCATTGGTTTGGCAGCCGAGCCTGGGTGTTTTCCAGATTGGTACATGTTATTCCTGTTTGGTACTGGAGCTATTCTGATGCGTGGAGCAGACTGTACTATTAATGACATGTGGGACCGTGACTACGATAAAAAAGGTTACAAGAACAGCAAACTGCCCAATAACCGCCGGAGACATTTCACCTTTTCAGTCCTTGATTTTTCTCGGGGGACAGCTGACCTTGGCCCTGGGTGTTCTTCTGTGTCTGAATTACTACAGTATAGCTCTGGGAGCAGCATCATTACTTCTTGTCATCACCTACCCCCTGATGAAGAGAATTACATACTGGCCTCAGCTAGCCCTGGGGCTGACATTCAATTGGGGTGCGCTACTTGGCTGGTCAGCTGTGAAGGGCTCCGGTGACCCCTCTGTGTGCCTGCCTCTGTACTTTGCTGGGGTCATGTGGACACTAATCTATGATACTATTTATGCTCATCAGGACAAAAGAGATGATGCCCTGATCGGCCTCAGGTCCACGGCGCTGCTGTTCCAAGAAAACACCAAGTGGTGGCTGAGCGGCTTCAGCGCGGCCATGCTGGCAGCTCTAACCCTGGTGGGCGTGAGCTGTGCCCAGACCCCGCCCTACTATGCAGCCCTTCTCACCGTCACTGCCCATTTGGCGCACCAGATCTGCACTCTGGAC